GAATATGCACAAATTATTTGGATCACATATAATACAATCAATCAGAAAATCTGTGATAAGCAGCATCACTACTTTCTCAGTTACATTCTTTATTAATGGTACAGTGTCACAATATAAATTGAAATATTTGCACATAATACAAAAAAATAACCCTTCATAAAGTTTATACTGTGCTAGGAATCATGTATTGAACTCAAAAATCAATATATAATATTTGATATTAAATAATGAGCAGAAACAGGTACACTCAGCCAAATGAATGCAATCACATTTTCCCTAACTTGAAGGCAAATATGCAAACAGCAGTTTATTACTTTACTGTATACATACTTCACACTTCAGGTGAGAGCTGTGAACTAAGTTTCTCAAGTTTTCTAACGTTCTCTATCCTCAGGCATAGTGGTTTTAAACCCAAATGATGAAATGAATTTTGGATAGTAGCATTCATTAGCAGTTACAGAATAGCATTACTAAGACAACCAGCTGGAGGCACTATGATTTCCACAGCAGACACACTGTGGTGGTGCATTCCTTCCCCCCTCTCCGGGCTGATCTATGAACTCAGAAGTCTCATTAGGCCTTAGTGTAAGTGTAATGAGTTGGGCGGTTAAGTGTCCATTGACCGTACCAGGAACTCTTGTGTGGCTAAGACAAGGAGCTGCACTGACCATACCAAAGATTCCTGTTGCCTGGCAGAGGCTGAGGGTGCGAGTAGGGATAATTAGTTATTTCCTGACAACCTTGGGACAGATCTCAGTCCTCTCCTGACAGCCTTGGACCATCCCGTATCCAAGTCTTAAGTCATTCTCTGACAGCCTTGGAGCCTTCTTTATCTGAATCGTCACTCATGTGAAATGGTGCCAGGGCTACTGGAATCCCAGTAATTTGCTGATGACTAAAGCCAACCATCTCCCAAACCCATAAACAGCAGTACTGAGACCCGTTGAGGTCTCCTGGACCACAGCAGGCTGCAACCAGCATCTCCCTCTGAGTGGGACGCCTCTCAGAGCTCACAAACTCTTCAGTTTGCAAAGATCGGAGGTCTGCCGCCAAAAGCGAATAGGACCTGGGCTGATGCTCTTTGCTCCTTGAGGCTCAATCCTTCGCCTGTTGAGAAAGATGCCGAAGCATTTGACATGAATAGTTTCACTGAACTCAAGGGGAGTTTTTAACAGGTATATCTCTTTTACTTGCTTATATGTATATCCCTCAGTGTCTTTGTGCATGTGTGTGTGTACTAACCTGAATATTCCATAGCAAGTATATTAATCTATACATAAGTCACTGTCGTGAATTTTATTCAAATGTGAATAAATCCCAGGTTGCTATTATAATCCCTTTAGACATAAACTGTTGTCTGAGTCTGGGACTAGGAGTTGATCCAGCCGCACTTAAGCTCCAACAGGAGTTTAGGAAACAAGGGGGTCTTCTCTGAACCTCGTGACTCAACAGGAGGGTCTCCCTTATCTTTTTGTATTCCATTAGACATAAACTGTTTCCCAAGTCTGGGACTAGGAGTGGATCCAGCCACACCTAAGATCCATCAGGAGTTTAGAAAGCAAGGGGGTCTTCTCTGAACCTCGTGACTCAGCAGGAGGGTCTCTCTTATCTTTTTACATTCCTGATCTCTGTACAAATCATGAGAAATCAATTCTAATTCCATCTTCCTTTGTATGTTTCTCTTTTACCCTATTGCATCTTTGGTCTCTGTATACATAATTTTAGTTTGATTCTGACTTAATTTTCCTGTGTACGTTTCATCCATGTATTAAGTAACAGAGTGAACCTTACCATCGAATTCTGTGAGGCCATGCTTTTATAAATTCCTATTAAATCATTTTTGCTAATACCCTTGAAGGTGATTCTTTAAGCAGTTCAAACCACTCCATTTTGTGACACACATGAAATCACTGGCAAAAAATAATTTTAAAAGGCAGCTATGAACTTAGCTATAATACCACAATCAATAAAGATTTATTCTTTAAATAAGTTCTTGACAATATATGACATTTACTAACATGGCTACTATTTGTTCTTCCAGAAAAGTAAAACAAAAAGTAAGACCTTGACATTGTTATATAGTCAAGAATGCCTCCCTACACTGGGAAAAAAAAAAGTTGAAAAAATTCTCACATCATCCTTCAATTTTTAAGTGGAGAAAAAAACAACTCACTTTCAAGAAAATTTTTGTACAGATTTCCAACATGCATACAGTAAAAGTCCATTAAACTGGTTTGGGGTTTTGTTTTCTGTTTTGTTTGTTTGTTTGTTTGCTTTTTAAAAAAGTATTTCTGATACCATGTACACTCATTTTCTTTAAATATTTTCCTACTAGAAAAGCCAAAATGTGTTGAAAATGTCCAGAGAACAGTTAAGCCAAAACTGTCAATGTCTTTGGAGAGTTAAATTTATAAACAACCTCAGCAACATAGGTCAAAATGCTGCTTATTCTAACCAGTGCTTTCATAGAAATCATTCTTTCCTCCCTCAAAAGGTGTATATGCCTTCTGTCTTTGCCATCAACAGGACTGATGAGCAATTCATCTGAATAATTAAGTTTCGGCTGAAGTCCTGCAGAGCTACAAGGACTCCTTGACTTGCCCAAGGCCTTCTCCCAAATACTAAGTGAGATTGGCTGCAAGTTAAAACATTATGAACTAGAAACCTGGCAGGCTGACAGCACCCACCACAGAGAATTTCCATAAGGCTACCTTGACAGAGGTCTCTGAAACACACAGTGAAATACAGGATCAGAATGGGATGGTACAAGGAGGAAATCAATAAAATTGTACGGGGCGGGGGGGGGGGAGATTTGGAAGCGCGCACACACACACTATATATATACATACATACTACATAATTTTAACAAATATTTTCCAAATTACTATCAATCTTGACAACATACCTTGTGCAAACATTTCAGAGTGGGAAAGGACTCAATAACTTGTAATAAATACTCAGTATCTACTAAAGTGCTGATATGTTATTCCAAGAATCATAGAATGGTTTGGTTGGAAGTCCTTTAAAGGACCTTTAAAGATTACCTAGTCCAATGCCCCTGCAATAAGCAGAGACATTTTCCACTAGAACAGGTTTGTCAAAGCCCCATCCAATCTGACCTTGAATGTTTCTAGGGATGGGGCATCTACTGCCTCGCTGGGCAACCTGTTCCAGTGTCTCACCACCCTCATCATGAAAAATGTCTTCCTTCTATCCAGTCTAAACCTACCCTGTTTTAGTTTAAAACCATTACCCCTTGTCCTATTGCCAACAGGTCCTGCCAAAAAGTCTGTCCCCATCTTTTTTATAAGCCCCCTTTAAGGACTGAAAGGCTGCAATAAGGTGTCCCTGGAACGTTCTCTTCTCCAGGCTGAACAACATGAACTCTCTCAGTCTTTCTTCATAGGAGAGGTCTTCCATCCCTCTGATCATCTTTGTGGCCCTCCTCTAGACCCACTCCAACAGGTCCATGTCTTTCTTGTGCTGGGGGCTCCAGAGCTGGACGCAGTACTCCAGGTGGGGTCTCACCAGAGCAGAGGTAGAGGGGGAGAATCACCTCCCTCGACCTGCTGGCAACAGTTCTTTTGATGCAGCGAGGATACGGCTAGGCTTCTGGCCTGCAAGCACTCATTGCTGGCTCATGTCCAGCTTTTCATCAACCAGCACCAAGTCCTTCTCTGCAGGGCTGCTCTCAATCCCTTCATCCCTCAGACTGTATTATTACCGGGGTGTCCTCATTTCAGCTGGACTAAAGTTAATTTTCTTCTTAGTAGCTGGTACAGTGTTCTGTTTTGGACTTAGTGTGCAAATAATGTTGATAACACACTGATGGTTTAGTTCTTGCAAAGTAGAGCTTATCCTAAGTTAAGGATTTTTCCATTTCCCATGCTCTACGAGCAAGCAGGTGTACAAGAAGCTGGGAGGGAGCACAGCCAGGACAGCTGACCCGAACTAGCCAAAGGGATATTCCATACTATACAACATCATGCTCAGTACATAAACTGGGGGGAGTTGGCCACACCCCTGCTTGGTCATCAGTCAGCAGGTGGTGAGCAATTGCACTACCCATCACTTGTCTTTTCTTGGGTTTTTTCTTAATTTTATTTTATGATACTCCTTTTCATTACAATTATTATCCTTTATTATCATTATTATTATTATTGTTAGTATTACATTTTATTTTACTTTAGTTATTCAATCATTCTTATCTCAACCCACAGGTTTTAACTTTTTTGTTTCCGTTTCTCCTCCTCATTCCACTGGGAGGAAGGGGAGTGAGCAAGCAGCTGCATGGTGCCTAGTTGCTGGCTGGGCTTAAACCATGACACAGAGGTTGCCCCAGCCCAGCTGCAGGACCTGGCACCTGGCCTTGCTGAACCTCATGAGGTTCCCATGGGCCCACTTCTTGAGCTTGTCCAGGTCCCTCTGGATGGCATCCTGTCCCTCAGGCATGTCAACTGCACTCTCAGCTTGGTGTCATCTGCAAACTTGCTGAGGGTGCACTCAATACCACTATCTATGTCATGTGTGAAGATATTAAACAGTACTGGTCCCACTACAGACCCCTGAGGGACACCAGTTGTCATTAATCTTCATCTGGATGTTGAGCCATTGACCACTACCCTCTGGATGCGATCATCCAACCAATTCTTCATCCACCGAATAGTCCATCCATCAAATCCATATCTTTCCAACTTAGAAAGAAGGATATTGTCGGGGACTGTGTCAAAGGCCTTACAGAAGTCCAGATAGATATCTGTAGCTCTTCCCTTGTCCACTGATGTGGTCACTCCATCACAGAAGGCCACTAGGTTGGTCAGGCACAATTTGCCCTTGGTGAAGCCATGCTGGCTGCATCGAATCACCTCCCTGTCCTCCATGTGTCTTTAGCATAGCTTCTAAGAGGATCTGTTCCATGATCTTCCCAGGTAGAGAAGTGAGGCTGACAGGTCGGTAGTTCCCAGGGTCCTCATTTCTACCCTTTCTAAAAATGGGTGCAATGTTTCCCTTTTCCAGTCACTAGAGACTTCATCTGACTGACATGACTTGATCTCCAAGACTTTCTCTAATCTGCAGCCAAAAATTTGGATCTTACCTGCATTTAGTGCAGAGGGTTGAAAGGATTTTCCTGTGCCTTACATTCTAACTTCAACTTTAAAGTCATTCATTTTGCTGTCAGTATAGTGAACAATCCAGGCAGCTGCCAGCAGCAACCAAAATGCAGTTGTCTTTAGTTACCTCCTCTGCCTTTGGGCCCAAAGAGCAGAAATATTGTTAGACTGGTTCTGCACCCTTTAAGCCTGAACTTTTGCAATGTACCAACTTTCTCCCTGTCATTCACTTCCTGAGCTTTAGTGAAACACTTCCTCAGAAGGGAGCTACACAAGTTATGTGTTGAAATATGCACAGTCAACTAGGTAGAAGTATCTATCTCACATTCCAGTAACTCAATGAGTAACAGTCATTTCCTCTATTTCAATTAAAATTACAATAAACAATTTCAATTAAAATGACAGCTACAACCACAACAGCTGTACAGCATATGAAAAATAGGAACTATAGTGAAATATTCTTGTTACTGTTATCTAATCATTGGCTTCCTGCACCACAGGTAAATTTTTGACTCAATCAACATAAAAATTTTCTAAGCTGCTACCTACAATCCAAATGTAAGACTGACATAAAATTGGGAAAAGAGTTTAGAATAATATTCTCTGTCTGAAACACTGACAGTCTTCACTGAAGTATTTAACTCTCCACACCTTAGGGGCAGAAGAGGTTACAACTACCTTTGGTCTTGTTCCACACATGCTAAGATCTCTAAATGATTGGTAACATTCGAATTCATGATTTTTCTCTAAAGACCTAAAACAGCCTCCTACTCCTTTTACAGACTGGTTAAATGATCAGGTAACATAAACAAACTTAAATAATCTTGTGTGGTTTTAGTGTTCAGTTCCAATCACAGTTACCTAAACATGTTGTTGCATGATAACCCCAGTAGGCAGCTAAGCAGCATAGAGCCACTAGCTCACTTCCCCAAACCCCCGCCGTGGGACAGGGAAAGAAGATTGGATAAATAAAAGCAAGAAAATTTGTGGGTCAGGATAAAACTAGATTAACAAGTGAAGGAGAAGTGGAAGAAGAAAAAAGAAAACAAAACAATTGATGCAAAGGCAATCACTCACCACTTCCCATGGACAAACTGACGCCCAGCCAAACAAAAGATGTTCCCAAACAAAAGATGGCTAACCTCCCTAAACATCCTCCTCTCCATCTTATTGCTCAGCATGAGCATCATATGGCTTGGAATATCTCTGGTTAGTTCAGGTCATTTGTCTGGTTGTGTCCACTCCCAACCTCTTGCACAGCCCCAATCTATTCACTGGGGGAGCAGAGTGAGAAACAGAGAAGGCCTTGATGCTGTGCAAGTACAGTTCAGGAATAGGTAAAACATTAGTGTGCTATGTTCATTGTTTTGGTCACAAATGTAAAACACAGCACCATATAAGCTGCTATGAAGAACATTAACTCCATCCCAGCCAGGCCCAGTACACACACACATCATACATATATCAAATGATACAGGATATATGGTAGTGCAAAGAAAAGAGCTCCAAGAGATGAAAAAAAAACCCACATGGTTTTGCTTAGTGGTTTACTCTTTTGCCTTCTAGCAGATGAAAGAAGTTGTTGTCTTTGAGTTTAAGATGTTCTGGTAAATCTAGCTGTGTTTTTGCCTCTTCAGTGTCTGCTTGAACTGCTGAAATGAGTGCCTCTGCAAAAGAGAAGTAAGAAAAGCAATATTTAAGAGCTGGTCTGAATTCTGAACACACAACAGCAACTGAAAAGGGTGTACTACAGAACAATCACAGGGGCAGAATATATTTATTATTATGAAGTTGGAAACGCAACATTCTCTGTTTCTAAAATGACGTGCTTTTATGCTTTTGACCTGCGTTGCACTTTTCACTGCAGTAAACACTACTTTTTCCTTGTTCCAAGACATTTTATCAAAAAACTCAACAGAATTTCATTAACTGTTTCAGTGTTAACATCATGCATTTTTAAAAGAAAGGGACAGACTAGACTATAATGCTTTTACAAGCAGCTCATGATTTTCAAGCTACTCCACAGATGACTGACATGATAATGTAATTTTCAGACTGAAATAAGTACTGATAGTCTGGAAGTTGTGGGGTTTTCCTTTTTTTAGTATGACCAATTTATATATTAGTGGATCCAGCTTAAAAAAAAAAAAATTCTACTGAGTAGTCAAAGGTAAAACATAGAATCACAGAATATCTTGAGTTGGAAGGGACCCATAAGGATCATTGAGTCCAACTCCCTGCTCCTTGCAGGACTACCTAAAACTAAACCATATTACTAGGAGTGTCGTCCAGGCGCTCCTTGAACTCTGACAGGCTTGGGGCCATTACCACTTCCCTAGAGAGTCTCCCTAGAGAGCCTGTTCCAGTGACCGACCACCCTCTCAGTGAAGAACCTTTTCCTAATGCGCAATCTGAACTTCCCCCGATGCAGCTTCTTTCCATTTCCTCGTGTCCTGTCGCTGATCACCAGAAAGAAGAGATCAGCAGCTCCCCCTCCACTGCCCTCCGTTAGGAAGTTGTAGACTGCCATGAGGTCCCCCCTCAGCCTTCTCTTCTCCAAGGTGAACAAGCCAAGTGACCTCAGCTGCTCCTCAGAAAATTTGCCCTCAAGGCCTTTCACCATCTTGGTTGCCCCCCTCTGCACACACTGTAGTAGTCTGATGTCCTTCTTATACTGATGCGCCCACAACTGCCCACAGTACTCAAGGTGGGGCTGCACCAGTGCAGTGTAGAGTGGGACAATCACCTCCCTCGACAGGCTAGCGATGCTGTGCTTGATGCACTCCAGGACACAGTTGGCCCTTTTGGCTGCCAGGGCACACTGTTGACTCACATTCAACTTGCCATCAACCCAAACCCCCAGATCTCTTTCTGCGGAGCTGCTCTCCAACCTCTTGTCCCCCAGTTTGTACGTATAACCAGGATTGCCCCATCCCAGGTGGAGAAGCCGGCACTTGCTCTTGTTAAATTTCATGTGGTTTGTGATTGCCCAAGCTCTCTAGTCTATCCAGATCTCTCTGTAAGGCCTCTCTACCCTTGAGAAACAACTACATGAAACAGCTGATTACAAGAAACAGCTACCCTACATGAAACAGCTGATTACGAAGACAGAGAGAGAACAATGACACAGTACTTTCAATATGCAAGAACATGACAAATAAAACATTAGTTTAAGAGACCTGCAATGCTGATCTAAAGAACTGAAGTTTTTTTCTGATTGAATATATCTACGAATGACTATATGTCGTGGTTTAACCCCAGCCAGCAACTAAGCACCACACAGCCGCTCACTCACTCCCCCCCCATCCAGTGGGATGGGGGAGAAAATCAGGAAAAGAAGTAAAACTCCTGGGTTGAGATAAGAACGATTTAATAGAACAGAAAAGAAGAGACTAATAATGATAATGATAACACTAATAAAATGACAACAGTAGTAATAAAAGGATTGAAATGTACAAATGATGCGCAGGGCAATTGCTCACCACCCGTCGACTGACACCCAGCCAGTCCCCAAGTGGCGAATCCCTGCCCCCCGCCCCTTCCCAGTATCTAAACTAGATGGGACGTCCCATGGTATGGAATACACTGTTGGCCAGTATGGGTCAGGTGCCCTGGCTGGGCATGAGAAGCTGAAAAATCCTTGACTGTAGTCTAAACACTACTGAGCAACAACTGAAAACATCAGTGTTATCAACATTCTTCACATACTGAACTCAAAACATAGCACTGTACCAGCTACTAGGAAGACAGCTAACTACATCCCAGATGAAACCAGGACACTATACTAAGAATCTCTCCATAAAAGTCATCTTTGAAACTGGATAATGTGGTTTCCTAAAAGAAGAGAAATACGTGGACAATTATCATGACGCATTTTGAGTTTATTTCCTTTATTGCAAGGATGTTGATCTAATACCTCTAATTCTAATTCTATTCCACACATATCAGGAAAACTAAGACACTTAGTCTAACGTGTAACTCAAGATTAAGAGGCTAGAGCTTTTGATTATGTTAGTAGGGAGAATTGTTCTTTGCATGGCATTTAAGAACATTGTGGTATTTATTTCAGAGATAAGATTTTCAAGGTAGCAAATGTCAAATAATGCTTAGATTTGTTTGATCATTAAGTTGCTGAGTCCAAATAAGTGTAATGAATTTGATTGAAACAGTTGTTTTAAAGAGAGCTTTTACAGGTAACTCACAGGAACTGAATTGATAAAATTCTACAGAGTAAAGGCAGCTACCTCCATAGCAGGGATTCATGTCAAAATAAAACTGCTCCCAAGTATTAGCAATGAAAACGAATTCTAACAGCAAACAGAATTTCTAACCTCATTTATGGATCAAATTCTGCTTATCTTATTTGAAGTCAATGTCTGGCTCATTTATTATAATCAAAGTATCACACAAAGCAAAATTCTTATCACTGATTTCTTAATATACATGTAGAAAGGATTCCATCCTGTGCTCCAAACCATTTTAGGCACATCTCCATTTCCAACACAGGCCCATCCATACTCTATACCAGTAGAGATATCAGAAGGAAAGTTTTCAACTACTTGCAGAAGAGTTTGCTGCAAAAATTTTAGAAAGTGTACATTTGTTTAAGAAAAGCACATCCCAGAATTTTCAAATGCCTAAAAGCCAAGCTCTGCCTACATGCTATTTACAAGCAGAACACTGATGACAGTGATACAACGTGCCACTTGCAAAGCATAAACCAAAAAACAGCCTCATAAAACGTAGTCCCACATCTCCTAGACATACTACTTCATCTTTATATATTCTTTTCTATAGTTAAATAGTTAATTCAGTAGTTAAAATTAATAAACTAAAATACATGCAGTCTGAATGCATTTCACTATTAGGACTATCACTGCTTTAATATGGCCAAAGAACAGAAAAATCATGTCTCTTTTCCACTGTAAAGTAGCATCTTAGAATTACTTAAGTATTTGTAATTTTTTTTTAGTAAGTAAAATATGTAAAAATAAATGAAGTTATTATTTTAGTCACCTGCCACTTTTTTCATGTTGCCTTTTAGGTTATTCATATTTGGGGATTTCTAGGATTTTCTTAGAAAACTACAGACCTGAAATAAAATAGATTCCTCTCTGACTGAGGGGAATAAATCTAAGCCTTTAGCCAAACAACCATCCTACTTTAAGTTCACACATGGGTAGAGCTCTTCATGCAAGGTTTCAAGCCAATTTTAAAGAATTTACAGTTAGTGGATTTCCATCCTAGTTCATAAGCAGAAAAAACTTCCCTCCCACATTCCCTGATATTAAGCCTTATATAAACAATCAAGAGAAAAAAAACTAAGTTTATATTAACAGATGTCATCACATCTCCAGTACCTCAAGATTTGTTATAGGAGGTTTTCTTGCCTATTACGATTTGTGCGAATATGCCCACCGACTTCAGCCTATCTTCAGAAAAGGCTGAAATCCATTTGAATTGCACCTCTATCTGTATTCAGACAAGTCAAACAGAGAATGGCAACGGGAAAATGCACTTCTCTTTAGGACAGCTGCACTTGCTCTGCTTTTTAATCTCTGCATTACTTGCTTTACATTTCCTTCCTTAAAGCTGCTCCCAGTGCCTGCTCCCTTTCTTGTCCTAATCTGAGTTCTTACAAGTTTGTAAATTGAAAATGGACGTTTTTCAAACTGCCATGCACAGTGTGTATGATCGCTTTTCAGCATCTTGCAAATCACCATGATCATCATCGGATGAGCTAACCAACAAAAAAAAGCAAACAGAAAGAAATCGTTTAACAGAAGGTCGGAAAATAAAACAAATGAGTGAACCAAACTGCAAGCAATAGGGAAAAAAAAAACCACAAACAACAAACAAAAATAAAAGCCCACCACAAAACGCTAACGCGGAACAAGCCGAGCCTGTTCCC